ATCGTCCGGGAAGATCACCAATAATATATCATACCGGCCAAATTTAAAAGGTTTATATGCATTGCTACGTGTATCATCCAGGATGAAGAAGTGGATCGTATGGGATAATTACCAATAATTGAGTAAATAGTAAGAACATCGTGCAAGATGAACAGGTGGATCGTACACGATGATTACCAATAATTAAGCAAAGAGAAAGAACATCTTCCAAGACGATCTCAAAAGATTGAAGAAAAAGATTATTAGATCGTCCAGCATAATAAAGCATCGAACAGGACGATCAGAAGAAGAATAGTCATATCAGCCGTTAGATGGAATTTCACTAGTGAATTGAATTGATCGTCCAGGACGATATAAGTATCATCCGGGACAATGTGAGAAAAAGTTTAAAATCAGAGGATAGATGGAGATGATCAGAGAAGGACCAAAAATACAACAACATCAATAAAAGATAAAGTTAAAAGAAGAGATAAAAATGAAACAAAAATAAGAGAAATTTTTTTCATCATTTTTTTTTGTTATTTATTTATTTATTTATTTTGTTTTAAAAAAGCATGAATATGATAAATTTTCCAAGTGATCAAATTTAAAGAATTATAGGACCAATGAGTCAACATCGTCGAAATGTGAAAATGGTAGAATATTCGATCCTATTATCCCTAGCTCGGACTTCTTTTAGAGCAAAATCATTTTTTAAAAATAAAAGACCTAACTCAGAATAAACTAATTGGATAAGAAAAAAAGATCCATTAAAAAACTAGGTTTCAAAAAAATATCTTATAGAATAATATACCAAAGTAACTTGTCACAATCATGAAATTTAAAATCAAGTCTTTGAAAATATCAAGTGACACATAAATTCTTCTAAGATTTAAAGGTTTGAAAGAGAGGGAATCTTTCTTTTTGTGGGCTCATTTTATGCCTCTTGTCAATTGATTGGCACACTTTGCGCGTCTTTTGATTTTTTATACACTTTGCATATCTTACATTTTTTGCAATCATTATGCATCTTTTGATTTTTGGTGTCATTGGTCATTTTTTTAATTTTTGCAAGCTAGATCCCTTTTCAAAACTCTTAAATATTCTTAATTATGAGTATATCTTTTATATATTAGAGAAGAAAAACTCCTTCTCTAATATAAGGAAAAATAAACCACAAAACAGACTCAAAATCAAGTGATAAATGTAATGACAAGATTTCAAAAAACTTGAAAGTAATATAAAGACTTTGAACACTATATATATAAGGTAGATTACCGTAGCAAGATACAAAAGATCTTAATTGCAAAGTCTAGTTTGTTAATATGAGAAAGAATTTTGTTTAGAAAAGAAAATTACATCACTAAAAGAGATTAGAGGGAGGGAAACAATCAATGGTGTTTCTCCCTTTAACTAAGTTAGGGATGTTTAGACATTGATTACAAATTTCTAAAAATAAAGACAAGGCAAAATATCATTTTAGCAAAAACAAAAAGGAAAACCAGAGTAAAAACATCAAAGATGAAACAACTATAAAATAACAACAAACATAAAAAGAAAAAAACTAAAACATAAAATAATAACAATCAATAGAGTAGTAAATATGAAATTCAGAATTTATTAAGTAGCAAGTTTATGCAATTATGAGCCGTGAGCCTCTACTGTCAAAGTATTATATGCTCTCACGAGGTCTTTGGTGAGAGCACACCTACAAAAATCATCAACTGTCGGATTTAGGAACCCAAACAGGTTTGGGTCCCTTCTTATGAAAATAAGAATGCAATGAATGTGAGTTATGTTGTGAATCATGCAGTTTGGGTCTCCACACCTAATGTGTACTATGGTGAACAGTGCAAGTGTGTGAAATGTGTCTTAGCATGCCACATGAAAAACTTTTAACTCCAAAAAAAGGATTTACTAATATATTCTGGTTATAATGCCTTTTTCTAGGTTTTGACTTTAAATTAAGTGTTGATGTATTACAATTTCTTTCATGTGTATTCAATTTAGCTTTAATCCTCAAGTTAGCAATTTCTAAAGAATCAAGTTAGCTTTAATCCTCTAGATTGTTTAACTTCATTGGTTCCTTCATAAGTTACACAAACTCTATCCCAAATTTCTTTACCAATTGCACATGTTAAAACACGTATATAATCTTCAGATTTCAAAGCACAAAAAAATTAATTCAAACATTTTGCATTAAATTGTGTTAAATCTCTTTCATCAAAAGTCCATTCAATAAAAGGAAGTTCAGTTTTAATACCATTAATTTCATGAGAAGGCGGTGTATAACCATACTTTACAAGCATTCACATACGATAGTCAATCAATTGTAAAAATGTATACTTTTAAGTTTTCCAAAAAACAAAAAGAATATTGTCAAATAAAGGTGGTCATGTAATATAATATCCTTATGTAGTATTATGATTACCAAAGTTAGCCATGAATCAAAATTCAAAAGTTTTTAAAAACTTGATTTTTTGAATCTCGCTCTAATACCACTTGAAAGTTTGACAGGGATATTAAGCCCTAATGAATTAGTCCCAAGGCTAACCAAGAGGGGGGTGGGTGAATTGGTATTTTAAAAAATATTTCATTCAAAAACATAATCTTAAACCAAAATCAAGATTCACCTCAGAAATCAAAGTGCAAAAATTCAATACGAAAGTAGTAATAAATAACATAGAAATTTATAATTGTTCGATTAACACGACCTATATCCACTCCCTTGAGGCGCCCTTCGATTATTGCACTAAACTCAGTGTTTCTCCTTTTTCCCCCACAGCAAGGCAGAGAAGCCTTTACAAACCTCATTTCCACCAACTCAGGTGAGGCAGAAAATCCAACTCCTTTTGCTTCCTCCAGAAGCAGGCAGAGAACCCAACTCCTTTTGCTTCCTCCTGAAGCAGGCAGTAACCTTGATCAAAAGCTAAAGTAGATATCTCTAAAACCCCCAAGGAACTAAGGATGATGAATGGAGAAGACAATGATAGATCTTTCCTTGGAGAAAGCTTTGTGAAACCCCTCACAAATTTCCCCCTCACAAAATCCTCTCTCTCTCTCTTCCTTGCTCTCCCTATCCTCTTGGCTCTCTTAGGTAAAAACAGCAGCAAAAGATGCCCTCTTGGGCGAAACAAGAGAACTTAAATAGAAGAGCGTCAGAATAGCTCTTAATTGTAATAAATCGAATTTCTCATCCAGAATGATATAAATATCATTCTGTACGATCAGTACAATTTAAGCTCAATCAGCCAGGATGATTTGGGACTATCAGAATGTTTTTGTTCATATCGTCCAGGCCGATATGATATCATCCTATACGATTAATATAAATTATTGAATATCGTCCAGATAATCGCACTGAATGGTTGTCTGGACGATACAAAATAGCTTGATCATCTAGGCTGATCTCACGATCATCTTAAACGATTAGTTCAAATCCGTGCAAATCATCCAGAGCAATGCCCTGAATAGAAGCTGGCTGATGTTTGATTGTCTAGGAAGAACTAAGATTTTTGAACTGATCATCCTGAATGATACTGCGATCTTCCAGAACGATATGATCGAGCAATCAAACCTTAACTATTATCCTTAATTACCAGATTAATTTAGGCATAATTGTGTTGCATTGTCTAGGATGATGTTAAAAAATAAAAACTACCTAAATAGATCTGGCTGCTAATTCTTTCTGATTTGAGCCTATCATCCCGGCAGATACGAATATCTTCCAAGACGATGCACTTAATAACGGCTGCCTTAACCAAGATGCTCTAATTAAAGTTTTTGTTTTTAATAGATCGGCCAAAACGATGTTAGGATCGTCCCGGACGATGTGAGTAAAATAAGATAACTCAAAAATCAGTCAGAAAAATTTCTCCCAAGTGTTTGTGTGTGCAAGGTTACTTAGCATCAGGTACCACATCATTTACAATTGTCTCAAGAAAATAAAAAGCTCACAAAATGACTTAGACTTAGTTTACCAAATCTTGAGCTGGTTCAAATTATTGTTTGATCTTGTGGACATAAAATGTTAGTAGGCGTGGCAGTTGTAGAAAGACAGAAGTGTTTGCTTTCATCAAAATTCTATTATCTGAAATCAGATTCTCAACATCCATAAAGCTGAGAACTTTTGAAACAATTAAAACAACACTATATTCTCTATCTCCATGCTTCACCTTATTCCTACTTTTACACAAGAAGTATATCACTATACAATAAACTTTGGCAATAAAATGATTAGAATCATCTAAGCTTTCTAATTTCAATATACATTCTTGAGTAGAACTTAAAATCAAAACTTGAATTCCCCAAGCATTCAACCAATTTATTACTTGGATCAATTTTAAACAACCAGTTGCAATATAGTCCATATTTTCAATTGCACCACACCCTCTTGGACATAAATTATTGCTAATCAATCTTCTATACATAAGGAGATCAGTTGTTTGAAGAGAATTATTATATAGACGCCATAAAAAGAGCTGCACCCGAGAGTTCAACTTCAGCTTCCTTGTTCATCTGCAGAAACTATCCTCCAGTTCTTCTTCAAAATCAGATCGTAAAATCATAGAAGATCTAGCCCTTCCAAAAAAATTATATTTTAGCTCCAATCAATCATCTAATAAATCTGGACATAAATGAATAAGAGAGATAATATCCACAAGTTGTTTTCCAAAATGCTGGTGCAACTGATTAGTAATCCATCTTCCATTGATAATAAAAGCATCCAAAGTAAGTGTATCATCATCCAATCCTGTAATAAATGTAGGCCCCTTCTCAATACGTTTATCATTATCCTCTAAGAAGCTCAAAGTTGTTGACTTTTCTCCTCTTATGCAAAAAATTTCTAGTATGTTGGAAAATTGGAAGCCTGAACTGTTATCCTCTGCTGGTCAAATTTAATTTATCAAATTTAGTATTTGGAACACTATTGTCAATTGGATTAGGGGCACCATTCTACCTAAAAATTGTTGTAAGTTTATTGATAAATGTCGTGCTAGATTTCTCTTTCATGGTGACATTCTAGGGAAGAAACTCCATATTATCTCTTTGAGAAATACTTGCCTTCCTAAGAAACTTGGTGGTCGTGGGCTTCCTTTTATTGCTAATCTGATTCATGCTTACTCTTCTTCTCTAATTTGGAGATGTCTCTCTTATTATTCATTTTTTGGCTACTAGATGAAGAATATTTACTCTCCTTTCTGGAAACCTACTTATGGGGGAACTTCTCATTGGAAGTAGTTATTCAATGGGGTTGCTTTGATTAAACCTAACATATCCTTTAATACTGTTAATGGAAATAAGATCTTCCAATGGTGGGATCCCTTGTGTGATGGTAAAGCTTTATCTGAGTTGCTTCCTATATCTACATTTTTTCTACTGCCACCTTACTTTCCGCTCTTATTTCTGACGGGGTTTAGTCTCCTTCTCAGCTGTTTCCCCTTCTATTTAAACTCTATTTATGTCATTAATATATTGAGTGTTGATGTTGATAAGCATATGTGGTGTAATATGGAGTATCCTTCCTTCAAATACTTTCTTAATGATTTTTATAAAAAAATTTGCTGAGGTTTATTGACATAGATTAATATGTCACAAAAGTTTTGCTTTAAGATTCACTTTCTTTTATTGTTTAACTGTGGTGGATGGCCTCAAAATGGATGATAATCTTATTTTGAGGGGTATCTCAACTCATCCCACTTGCCCTCTTTGCTTTATTAATGCTGAATCCATTTCTCACATCTTTTTTTAATGCAACTTTTCTTTTAATATTCTGAAGATTCTCTTCCCTGGAGCTGCTTTGTTTTTGTTTAGACCCAATATCAGTCAAGTTTTTATTTGCATTAATGGTGAGCCCTTGTTCTCTTTAGGCACAAAAAATGTATACTATCTACTTATTTGTGCATTCATTTACGTCATCTGACGTGAACACAATAATAAAATGTATAGAAACTCTGAATCTTGCAAAAAATTAGTTTTCATATTGATTAGAAATGCTATTAAAACCAAAATTTGTAGATGGAAATATTCAGTGAAGTTTATTCAACTTATTCTCTAATTCCCTGTCGATTAGGATATTTTTTCTTTTCTGGTTAGCTGGAATTTGAGTTTTCTTCTATTGTAGCTTGGGGCATCTGCTCCTTTGGGCATTTTGTTCTATTTTTATGGATGGTGATATGGCCGCCTTCCTCCCTCATCCTAGATGGTCTTGGCATTATTTTGGCAACCGTGGAGGCACTCTTTCTTAATTCTACTTCCTAGTTGGGATTGGTCAATTCTCCTTCCTGGAGCTCTTCTTCTTCTACTTCTAAATATTTTTATGATGCTTTGCTTTATTTTGTTGGCTGTAAAGTTTTAGGGAGCTTGGAATTATGCAATGGTCTACATGCTATTGTCTTTTTTGCTCTTTATTGACAATTTTGATTTTATCCAAGGTTGTGAAAATCGGACAGGACGATGAACCAAAAGAAGAAGAAGTTCATGATTCGATAGTTCAACTGGGGTCAAACTGGGGTGGTTGAACTTGATGAAGTAATCAATGCTAAAATTATTTAAATATAATACAAATTAAGTAAAAATTAAAATTTTAATAAAGAATACATAACTATATTAATTTAAGTTCATAAATAAGCTCAGTAAGGTTCAACATAAAACTTATTAATGTACTTTATATTACAAATATAATTATATGAATAACAAATAAGTCTTAAACTTAAAAAAAATAATAATAATTGTATAAATCTAAATATAACTTTTAATAAAAATAGTAATATTATATATAAATTTAATCATATAAAAATTATATTTCTAAATTTAATAAATTATATACAATTTCAATTCAAATTTGTATTCCAAGCAATTTAATTGTTTAAAACTTAAAGCTCATGCCAAATTCTCCTAGATTTTTAGTCAGACATCATTGGAGAATTTTAAAATTGTTCTATAATTCTCTTTATATAGTGTAAAGCACTGACCACAAATAAGAAGTAACTTTGCATGATGTGGCAAGCTAGCAACTTAATATTTTTATTAAATTTAATTATAAAAGAATATTTCAATAAACTTTATTTATAAAAGTATATTATTTTTAAAATAAAATTTTAAAAAATTAAATAAAATTAATATTTACAAAACTTTTTTAAATAAAAATTTTTATTTCTTGAATCGATTCATTTATTCAAATTGGAATTAGTTCGACGATTTTCTTGTTGAACTGGCGGTTCAAATATGCTTGCACCAATTCAATGCAAATCTAGGTTTTCAACTTCTTCCGACCGGTAATTGAAATGGTCCACTACTGAATCGGTCGGACCGGCTCGATTTTTAAAACACCGATTTTACCTTTATTATAATATTAAATTTATATATGTGTAATAAGAATAATATTTAATATAATATATACATTTATAATATTAAAAATTTATATTATTAATTATTATAATATATATTATAGCATATTTATGATATATATTGTTCAAATTTGTAGCTCAACTAAGCCTAAATTTATAGCCCAACTAATTTGAATAAGTCCAAATTCACATTCTAAACTATTCATGCAATTTTTTTAGTCTCACATCATAGGAGTTTGAGGTTGTTGCATTTAACCATTTATAAAGTGTGAAGTGTATATTTTTATAAAAGAAATTATGTTAAATATTTGAGATAACATGCATATATTATGATATAATTAATCATTAAATTTAATGCAAATATTTACAAAACTTTAAAAGAATTTTATAAACTAAAATATATTGTTTAAAATTTAATTAAAACAAAAATAATTCTTTTTTATAATATGGGCTGTTCTTTTTAACCCGAATCGGTTCAGCGGTTCACCTGTTGAATCGGTTCAACGGTTCACCTGTTGAACCAAACCGTCGATTCGATGCATAACCTGTTTAATAAGTTGGATCGAAACAACCATATGACTGGTTCACGGTAGAACATGCCAATTCGATCCGGTTTTCAAAATAGTTGATTTTTTTAAAAAATAATGATATATATATATATATATAGATTAAAAAAACCTAAGTCTTATGTTATTAAAAAAAAACACAGTATTTCAAGTTTCTCTGACGGGATGGGCCAAATTAAATTCGTCATTTATGAGTGCGTAAGCTGAGTATGATTCGGGTTTCCGTTTACGTCGGGTTCTTCTTCTGCTCTCTCTCCGACAAGTTCCGCAGCTTTTTGGCGCGCCAATTTCCGCCCCTCGTCCTATTCTATAATTACGATAATGCCGCCCGCCGGCGCTGTTCCCAATGAGAGCATCTCGCGCGGAGCAGTACCGGCAGCTTCTCCGCAGGCAATTAATGCCGTTTCTTTCGCCTTATTTAACCAACGTCTTCCCTTATTCTCGTAGGGTTTTGGCGTGAACTGTTCTTTCTCTCAAAATGTAGCTTTACTGGTGAGTCCCTATTGAGTTTCTTCTTACCTCTTGCTTCTTCGCTTTTGTGGTTTATGTCGTTCATTGCTACGATTTGTTGGGAATGAAGCGTTGAACGACTGTTCTTTTCCAAAATTTTCTGCCGCTTTTGCTCATTTGGTTCCTTTGCTCTGTATTTAAATTTATTCATGCTGTGGGTTCAAAACTGTCCTTCTGACTCATGTTTAAGTGATCTAAGTGTGTTATCTTACCTTTTTGAAAGATATCTAATACACAACTCATTTTGAATTGTTGATTGAGAGCTTAGGCTTTGAGGTCCTGAGTTTGAGTCTTTATATGAGTTGTGTGTGCGAGTTTTTCTTAATTGACCTAAATGTAAAAAAAAAAAAAAAAAAATTCTTAATTGACCTAAATGTAAAAAAAAAAAAAAAAAAAAAAAAACTTATAACTCGGCAAAAATAAAAAAAAAACTTTGCTAATGCACTTATGATAACCTAACTGCTTCTTAGATCTTTTCTGCTTTACGAATTTGGGGTTGCTCCATCAAAGATGTAATATGTTGTGCTTATTGTTATTTACTTGGCATTAGAAGTAGTATTTTTAACAAGCGTTTGATTAAGTTCTCCTTTTTTTATTTTTGTTGTTACCAGCGCAATAAAGCATTTAGCTCTCTTCTTTCTTATTTTTTGTACAGGAGTTGAGTAAAAGTACCAACATTTTGGACGGCATGGCTAATAAGTAAATGAAGATATTTTAGCTTGAATAAAATGGCCGAAGGTAGGCGGCATTCTGTAGATATCCCTCTATCAAAAACTCTAGTGGCTCTCAAGAGGGTCCGGTCGCTGAGGGATCCATCTACTAATTCGATGAGAAAATTTGCCACAGCCTTTGATAATGTGAACTGGGAGGTGAATTCTTGTGTTGGTGCATATGAAGATATAGAAAAATTTGATAAAAGTCAGCCTCATAACAGCTCTGAGTCTGAACATATTTCAAAAGTTGTTAACAAGAGGAATGCTTCGTCCAGAAAATCTTCAATTATTAGAAATAAAGATTTACACTCCAAACAAACTATTATGGTTCATCAATCCTGCATGGATGGTAATAAAAAACCATTAGAACATGCAATGGTTCAAGTATCGACAAACCTGATGAAAGAGGAAGTAGATTCATGTAGTGAAACAAATGTGGATGCAGCAAAGGCAATTAGTAGCCTAGTAGCACAGAAGGCTGGGTGTGGTGGTTATAGAAGAATACCTAAAGTGATGGAGGATGTGGGTATTAGCCGAGTGGGAAGCCCTTGCTTGTCAATAAGTGAGCTCCATACAAACTTATCAAGTAAGAGCAACATGGGGTTTTCCACTATTGATGATGTTGCTGTTGTGAATTCAAATTATAGTGGGTGTGGAATTGGTTATTGTTGGTCTAGAACACCAAAGCGTAAGGATCCAACAGTTTCTTTTGATGTTGATGGCCAGGAGCTACCACTGCTATCTGTTGAATGGAAAGATAGAGGCTATAGTGACATAGCTTTCATGCCAAAGAAGACAAGGAGCTTAAGCCAAAAATTTCGGCCAAGATCTTTCAATGAGTTGGTTGGATTAAATGTTGTTACTAAATCCCTCACGCATGCCATAATAACGAGAAAGGTTGCTTCATTATATCTTTTTCATGGCCCTCGAGGCACTGGTAAAACATCTACTGCTAGGATTTTTGCTGCTGCTTTGAATTGTCTGTCCCTTGAGGACCATAAACCATGTGGCTCTTGCCAGGAATGTGTGATTTTATTCTCTGGACGAAGTAGGGATGTCAAGGAATTATGTGCTATGAAACTAAATCATAAAGATAGGATAAAGGCATTATTAAAGAATGCTTCTCGTGTTCCATTTACATCACGGTTTAGGGTATACATTATTGAAGAATGCCATTTTCTACGAGGGGAGATATGGTCTGCTATTTTGAATAATGTTGAAGAGTTTTCCAAGCATGTTATTTTTATTATGATTACATCTAATGCTGATAGTCTCCAACAAACTTCAATATCTCAGTGTCAGAGGTACCACTTTCCAAAAATAAAGGAGGATGATATTTTTTGCAGGTTGCAAAAAATTTGTATAGAGGAAGGCTTTGAATTTGATAAGAATGCATTGGCTTTTATTTCTAGTAAAGCTAATGGTTCCCTTCAAGATGCAGAAACAATGCTTGATCAGTTAGCATTGCTTGGGAAAAAAATTACGATATCCTTGACACATGAACTTGTGAGCTACTATACCATTTTTGTTCACCTGGGTGAATTCACATATTTCTTGGCTATAAATATCCGCATGCATTTACATTCTTTGCAATGTACTAAAATTAGTTTTGCTCTGATTAATTGTTACAGATAGGGGCTGTTTCTGATGAAGAGTTGCTTGATTTGCTTGATCTGGCATTATCTGCAGATACTAGTAACACTGTAAGAAGGGCTAGAGATCTTATGACTTCGAGGATTGATCCAATGCAGCTGGTGTCACAACTTGCTAATCTTATTATGGACATTCTTTCTGTAAGACACCCATCGGAATTCACCAATTATGGCAGGAACTTTTTAGGAAAACATGCTGGTAAGCTTCAATGCAATCCTCACCTATTTTTGAGAAAATTCAATGTTTGTGTGATGCAATAAGTATGAATAACTATGCCTTTCTATAGGCTTGAATCAAATTTGTCTAATTCTAGTCACTAGCAGCTTGGCTATTGTTTGCTTAGTTAATATACTTGACCCCTTTGTATAGTTTATTTAAAGCTTATCTGCTCCATGATTTTTTTTTTCTATCTTTGTTGATGCAGGGCACACTTTGAAGACTAATTTAGCAAGTATTGAGTTTAGATTATGTATAACTAAGGACCTTCTTCATGTACTTTTATTTAGTTATGTATGCTGACCCTTATGTTACTGGTTAGGAGTTTTTTTAACGTATGCTAACGATTATATTATTGGTTAGGAGTTTTTTTTAACATATGCTGACCATTATGTTATTGGTTAGTCTTTTTAATGTATTTTAACCTTTATTTTTCATTATCATAGGTTTTAATGTAATTCAAAAGTTACGAGTCATATTTGTCATGTATGTGTTTGAGCTAGCATAATCAATCCCTAGATCTGAATTTGTCCTTATTTGACAACCACTTCACTATTTGATCTCCGCCTCCCCATTTGATTACCATATCATACTTTTTAACCACCACATCACCCTCCTACATGTAATGAGCTTCCCACCCCCACTCTCTTTCTCTCTTAATTAATGTCACAAGCCATTATTATGCTTTGGAACCAACTTTCCTTTATTAGCCTTCTTTGGAAGCCTTAGAAGTATTTTTTTTAATCACCAATTAATTTTCAAACTCCATTCAATTCCTTCTTCCTGAAGCTATGAACATTCATCTGTTGCCTTCCTCACTTATTATACACTAGTGTTGTGTTAATCTCTAATATAGGTAGCAAATTATTCGTAGGCCTTGTTGCATCCTGGAATATTCGTGGCGGTAAAGAATTATAAAGTTTTGTGTCTTAGCGTTGTATGAAAATCCAACACACAAGCAGATAAGAGAGAGAGTGTAGCGTTCATAAGAGACATTAGAGTTTTTATGTGGAAACCCCTGAAAAGAGGGAAAAATCACTGGGCTTGACCCAGTTTGAATGAATTCACTAGTATTTGCAGTCGATTAAAAATGAGGCCCTTTTTAGGGAGAAGGCCTTGGCTTGGTGTCACAAATGTATATCATCTAGAGCGCATTACATTGTGGGAGTTACAATAATCAACATAGATATGTTTGTTTGGTCGGGAGGACCATAGTTGATAGGATAAAGGTCGGAAAAACCATAATAGGCAGTAGACCAAGGTTATAAAGATTGTAGTTGGCCAGAGATTGCGGTCAGAAAGACCGTTGTAGTAGCGCGGTACTCTGGTAGAACTCTAGGCATCAGGTGGTGGCTCGAAAGAAGTCCGGGCCTCAGGTGGTGGTCCGTTAGAAGTCCGAGCCTCAGGTGTGGTTCAATAGAATTCCGGGCCTCAAGTGGTGGTCTGATAGAAGTTCGGGCCTCAGGTGGTTGTCCGGCAGAAGTTCGGGACTTAGGTGGTTGTCCGGCAGAAGTTCGGGCCTCAGGTGGTGGTCCGGTTGAAGTCCGGGAATTTGGTGGTGGTCTGGTAGAAGTTCGGTCCTTAGTTGGTGGTCCGACAGAAGTCTGGGCCTTAGGTGGTGGTCCGGCGGAAATCCGGGCCTCAGGTGGTGGTCCGGCGGAAGTTCGGGCCTCATGTGGTGGTCTGGCGGAAGTCCGAGCCTCATGTGGTGGTCTGGCGGAAGTCTGGGCCTCAGGTGGTGGTCCGACGGAAGTCCGGGCCTCAGATGGTGGTCCAGTGGAACTTCGGGCCTCAAGTGGTGATCCGGCTGAAGTTCGGGCCTCAGGTGGTAGTCCGGCAGAAGTAAGGGCCTCAGGTAGTGGTCCGGCAAAAGTTCGGGCCTCAGGTGGTGGTCTGGAGGAACTCCGGGTCTCAGGTGGTAGTCTGGCGGAAGTCCGAGCCTCAGGTGATGGTTCGACAAAAGTCCGGGCCTAGCAGAAGTCAGGGCCTCAGGTGGTGGTCTAGCAGAAGTCAGGGCCTCAGGTGGTGGTCTGATAGAAGTCGGGGCGTTAGGTGTTAGTCCGGCGGAAGTTCGGGCCTCACGTGGTGGTCCGGCGTAAGTTCGGGCATCAGGTGGTGGTTTGGCGGAGAAGGGGTTGTCGGACAGAACTCCGGCGATAGGCGATGGCTCGGCGGAGCTCAGTCCCTCAGGTGGTGGTCTGGTGGAGCAACGACGTTAAGCGGTGGTCAGGCGGAACTCAGGTGGTTCCTCTTTCTGATTTCTTTTGATTTTCCACCAACTACTCCATCTTCATAGCCTTCCCTAGGTTCCTCGGCTCCAGAACCCTCATTGCTGTTCGGATCTCTGATTTTAGCCCTTTCATGAAGTTCCCTTGCAGGGCTGACTCTGAAATGTGATCTAATCTGCTAGCCAAGTACTCAAACTTGTCCTGGTAGTCTGCCACGATCCCCTCCTGAGTCAAAGCAAAGAATTGCTCATAGAAGTCTCCTCCCCCATTAGCTCGGAAACGCTCCAATAAGCAATTCTTGAACTCTCTCCATCTCCGGATGGGCTCCCTTTTGTCACACCACTGATACCACGCCAAGGATTTTCTTTCCAAACACAGTCCCGCCGCCGTCAGCTTCTCTTCCCCTGTCAACCCGTTGGCATCGATGTAACGCTCCACTTTGTAGATCTAATCATGACTGTCTTCGCCCTCAAAAGATGGACATCTTTAGCTTCCTCACCCGTGGGTCTCCCCCGTGCCCCCTGAATCCTCCATAACTTCCCATTCCTCGAAGAGGAGGTGCTCAACTGTCACGATCTTCCCTTCGACGGTTATACCCGAACCCTTCATCATATTCCCCTCTTCTCCCTTCAAAATCAGCACCCCGGCGATAGAATTCTTCCATTCTCCCGATGAAATCAGCACTCCGCCGGTCATTTCCCAAACTCATCTCCTCTCTAGAAAGTGGCTCTAGAGGTGGCATGTCGTCCTCCGCCTCAATGACCTCCACTTCCGGATTTCTCCTCCCCCTAAACGGGTTTGGATTTCCTCCTACACCATGGCCTCCGGTGGTCTCTCTTGCTTCCGATGTTGCAGGATTCTGTCTTCAACTCCAGCAGTTTCTTCAACATTTCTTCCATCACCGCGAATTTCCCCTCTATCCTTTCATTGTTGGAGGTGATTTGAGTTTGAAAGTCAAAGAACTTTCCCTTCAAATCTGATTTTAGTTGACCGATCTCGCCTTCCAAGACCTCTACTTTCTTCACGGCCATCTATCTTCCCATAAATCACGAAGATCTTCCGGTAAAAAAAATCACGCTGAAATTTCAGGATTTCAGCCGCCGACGGCCCAAAATTGATGCTCTTATACCAATTTGATAGGAAATCGCAAGTAACCCTAAGGTAATACTTGAGTTCGCAAGCAATCCCAACCCTTATCAATAAGCAAACGGCAGAGAAACGACTATTTGCAGCAGGAAAACAACAAAAATCTGCTGTTTACAGCAGGGAATCAGCACAATCCAGGGAAATCTGAGAGAAAACCTCAATGCAAAACTTGTATTCCACTAGACGATGAAATAAAATAGCAAAGATACAATCGTTCTTCAATCCGAGAGGAAGAACAACTCTCCAAATCTCCGGCAACGCCAAGAGCCCAAAGCAAAAGAACCCCAGATCTCAAATTGCAATCAAATTCAATATAATCCTAATTCCCTCCTATTCCCCTAATTAACATGAAAGGAGAATTACAACTTACATAATCAACCCTTACATTCAAATATTTCCCCCAAAAAATTGCATTAAACCCATAATGGGGCCCACAGGATTACCACCCCTCTCTCCCTGTTTCTTCTGCTGAACAAATACCTGGACCGGTCCAGGCTGGACCAATCCAGCCGGCCTCTCCTGGGCCGGCGTGAGAGCAGCAGGCGTAACAGAAGGATACGAAAGGGTTGGAGCAATCAGAGCTCTTGAAGAAGAGCGTCAATCTTCCAATGGTCCACCGACCATAGGTTGTCGGCGAACATCCGTCAACATGAGCTCGTCGCAATTCCCGCGAAGATGGAAGTTTGAAAATTTCGTAAATTTCAAACAGATTTCTAAGTAAAATCTGACTTACACTGAGAAACCAGAAAGAAAAATAGATTTTGATATCAAACAACTAAGAAATCGTTAGATCCTTTATGTTAAACCAAAATGGAAATGTAGTGACAACCTGGGAGAAGGAAGAAGATATTAGATTGAAATTCCCTCGTTTGTTTAATGAACATTAAGATAATGAATTTTGATAATGAAATTTCAATAAGGATGAGAGAATTATAAGTCCCAAAATTTTGTCAAAAAGGTATTATATATATATATATATATAGTAATTTTATACACTGTAGCAATTCCACTTATAATCACATGCAATAGCTGATTTAGTTAATGTTTCCATCCCATGACTGAGAGGGCTTGGATAGGGGTAGTGGATTTGTAGTGGAAAAAGAGGTATTAATATTATATTAACACTAAAGCTATGATGCACCGACACAGACATGGAGACACGGACACAACACATGGACATGAGACACGACATTTTTTAAAAATATAGGATACGGGTGCGGCGTGGACACGGCATAGTAATTTTTTAATATAACATTTAGTACAACATGGATGTCCAACTATTCAATATGGAAAGTTATCGAGTGGTACTGAGCCATACCGAGCATGTACCTAGTGGTACCGAGCATGTACCGAGCATATACCGAGCGGTACCGAGTATGTACCGAGCGGTAATGAGCATGTACCTGCTCGGTACCGAGCATTGACATTAGCTTTTTCAACGATGAAGAGAAGAAATGACGAAATCCACTTACAGGTCTTGGCTCTCTTGCGCGTAGAAGATGCTATGTTTGGCATTGATTGCGAACTTTGCCTCGGCTGACCGCAGAAATCACGCAAGAATGAAGGAATGGAAAAGACGAGCTCGGCTCGAGCAGAAATGACGAAGGAACGGGAGGCGAAGGAAGCAGACTCCGTTTGGCGTCGGCTGCGAGCTCGCCCGGCCCCCCCTAGAAGATTTCTTTCGTGGATCGTAAAAATAGGGCTTCTTGTTCGCATAAAAGGCTAATATAACGAATCAGACGATTTTATTATTTATTAACCGGACAAGCGTGTCCGGTTTTAATTTTAATTTTTTAAATTGCGACACTCTAATGCCGTGTCGGACACGTGTCCATACAGTGTTGGATGCGTGTTCATGTCTGACACTGCATACGCTCTTTAAGCGGAGTGTCGGTGCATCATAGCACTAAAGCCTTCCAATTAAGCATTCAGCTCAGCATTTCCTTGCTCCCCTGTTACTTTATTCTCTAGAATTCGGATTTCCAGCCGCAAGCAGAGGAGCTGGGAGGCGGAAGTGTGGGTTGTTGTGGCTGTTGGTAGGGAAACTTTCAAAAATAAAGCAAGGGAAAAGTGGCTGAAATAAGTAATTGATGAAATCAGTAAAGATAAGAATAAAGGCTGTTGTTAGAGAATTGTTGCATTGTTGTTGAAATTGGGAAGACTGCTGCTTCGTTGCTGAAATTGAGTGCTGAAATTGCTGTAGTGTTGCTGTAATTAGTTGAGGGCTGCTGCAGTAGTTGCTAAAATCAGTAGGGTGATCAAAGAAAATTCAGAAAATTATAAAGAAATTAAAAGGAAGGGAGTGGAAGGTGAGAATTTGGGTTGATTGAGTTCATTTCAAGTAAACCTCTTAAGAATTTTCATTTTAGTGTGTTATTTTATTCGTATGCATGCATGCATAAATGAAGAAAACTTCTGTTTTAGGTTGTATATAAAAGGAAAAGAGATTGTGGTATTTCAGGTGAATAAAGCTACCCGACTAGTCCAACCAATGAAGTGAGATACCCAAACTATGGTACGGCAAACAATAACACTATATACTTGCAACATCATATTTTATATGATTGCAATAACATTAATCTCAATATTATTATGTATTTAGTTACTGGTTCATTAAGTATTTATAGCAATTGTACTTTTTATGATTGTTATGAAATATGACTTGTATTAAAAGGGTCAATAAAAAGTCTATGAGATAACTCATATATGGGGGATAACTCAATATTATTATGTATTTAGTTACTGGTTCATTAAGGGGCTGTTTGGTTGCCTGAATTGAGGGGGTAAAGTAAAATAAATACATGCATTTACTAAATCAGGCTGTTTGGTTAATTTTGAGCGGAACATACGGAACCCATCCGATGCATTAGGCGTGTAATAAAGAGGGTGTTTTGCGGGAATTAGAAACCCGCTCGATACGAGCTGGTTCTAAATTCATCGGGAAAGAAGAAATGCTTCATCGTCCGCTCGCATGGCTTCCCGTTCTCCGGCAGCTCATCACACGCCTTGGGACTCACATAACTGCTCACTCCCTCCACCAAACTACAATTCCACAGCACCTTCTTCGGTTTTGATGCGGATGGCGGCTTCGCAGTTGACGTCGACGATGTTCTCAGCGCGGACGTCTTGGATGTCGCCGCTTTCCACTCTTCCACCTCAATTCGCACCGTCGCTGTCGGCAATGAAGTCTTCGTCGACCCCCGCAACCTCACCGCCTATCTCATCCCCGCCATGCGCAACCTTCACTCCGCTCTCGTCCGTCTCCGCCTCGACGCAGACATCAAACTCTCATCGCCTATCGCACTCACCGCTCTCCATTCCTCCTACCCTTCCTCCGCCGGATCCTTCCGCTCCGACTTGGCTGAATCCTTCATCCGCCCAATGCTCGATCTCCTCCGCCAAACAAATTCCTCTCTAATGGTGAACGCTTACCAGGTTTTGTATATTTCTGGTTCAATCTATGATGTATACTATAGTTTGTGGATTTATTCTCTTCTAATTGGTGCATGTTTTTTTTTGGTTTCAGCCAGTAGAAAGCAATGATCTTACAATAGTAAGGACCATGACGCCCACGAGAGCAAGTTCTGGCAAGTTATTGTTTTGTGAAATCGTTTTTCTTTTTTGGTTTCAGTCTAGTAAGAACTTTTATAAATACACAAGTTATCCCAAACGAAATTTTTGCAATGATCTTTCGTGCTATCTGTGAGCCCATGATGAGCAATCCCAAACAAAGTTTAAACAATCGGTGATTAATTTTAGAAAGCAAGAAGAAAGCTATCCCAAACGAAGTTTAAACAATCGGTAATTAATTTTATAAATACACAAGTTATAATGACAAAAAAATTACAAATGCACTGTTTTTACTTTACTCTGGATATATCTAACCAAACAAGGGAAACAATTCTCCTACGTTTACTTTGCAGACAACCAAACAGCCTCAAAGTATTTGGAATGCACTACATTTACTTTACACTGCATTTACTTTACATTGCGTTTACTTTGCAGGCAACCAAACAGCCCCTAAGTATTTATAGCAATTGTACTTTTTATGATTGTTATGAAATATGACTTGTATTAAAAGGGTCAATAAAAAGTCTATGAGATAACTCATATATGGGGGATAAACTTGCACAAGTAAAGGTGAAAACCTTGAGGAGGTAAGTTTTAGGGAAGCCGAATGGAAGATATTTATATTCTCTCAATTCTAAAAACTAAGAATTTAGACTCAGCCTTGAATGATAGTGTAGCCCTTAATTCCAAAAGTTGGGAATGTGAACCCAATCTTGAATTAGTGAGTTATAAGTGTGCAAAAGCCTATAGTCATCAGATGACTTAGCTAAAATATTGAATAGTAAACAGAATAGGACATGATGTTTTTGTACAGCTTATGCTTATTATAGAAATCACAATGTTGTTTTCATTTGATTGCAAATATTTTTATTATGTCTTATACATTGCTTGTGTATTTTATTGATTCTAGCTCATTAGCAATAGTTGTATTGCAAGAAAGGAAAATGAGCCAAGGAGCATTAGGCAGGAAGGTTGATTGCCCTTGTGTAAATATATTTTGGATGTATATAGATAAATGGGGTGTGATATGTACCATAACTTCTCATATGTTTAAAATATGCACCTAAATGTTAAACCTGCATAACTGATAAAAAGTTCTATTTTTAGTTATAGGTTTCGGACACTGCAAATGGAATTTAAATAAAGTTTCTTTGTCACTCTAATTTCCTACCCTATTTTTCTCCATATCAAGTATCTTGAACTACTATTATTTTCTCAAGCACTTGATAATAATCTCAAAATAACTGCCGTTTATACAGCTTAAAGCAAGCAAATTCTTGTTTCCTTTTTAAGTTGCTTAGCTTATTGTACTTTTTATGCAGTGGCTCAGGCTGGCATTCAGAAACTTAGACATGCATTGAAAATTCTTTCTGAAACTGAAAACCAACTTAAAACTTCAAAAAACCAGGCAACGTGGCTTACTGTGGCCCTTTTACAACTTGGTTCTCAAGAACCCTCTCTTATCGATGTGCATGAATCTATGGAATGCCCTCAAGTGACATTGTTTAGAGGTAAGAACTAAATCTATTCAAGTTGTCTCCCTCGGGAAAGTAAGAAGAGAAAAATAAGCTGGAGATCATCAACTTCTCTCATTTGGAAATTTTCTCTCTCTCTCTTTGTAATTGAAACTTTCTTCATCATATTTTTCTCTTTGATATGGGATTCCTTCCGTATCTGGTTTGAAATGGGACATCATTCTGAGTATTGCTTGATTATCATTCAGAAATAGTAGTGGGTCCTTTAGATTCAATAGATTGTCGTATTAGAGAGAAACATTGTATCTTTTGACATGCACTGGTTGTTGGGCAGATCCTGAAGTGTTCGATTCTTCCTCAGCAGGAGCAACTCAGGACTTCATTTGTTATGGGTGTAACAAGTTAAAATGTTCTGGAATAAATTGCAACAGAGCAAAACTTGAAAACATTTGGAGAAGAGTCATGCCAGTATTCCAGTCAGGTAAACTAAGGAGATTTCTGCAGAAAGAAGGGAACTTATCAGCTTTACATTTCTGTGAAGGTAAACACAAGGGCATTTTTGGCTAATTTTATTTTGTTTAAAGATAATAATGAATCCTCAGACCCTTTTGAATTACAATCGACAATACTGAATCATGGTTTTATTATCCATATTGCTGTAAGCACATAATAAATTGATTTAAAATTTGACGTTATCCAAGCCCTCAAATTTTTGAGTAGTGGCTATCTCCACGGTCCTCATGTATGTATGCACCTGCTCCTATATATTTTTGGGAAATGCCTCCATAGGTGCAAACAAATTATTCACATATGGGCAAATGATGTCTTGAGAGACAAATATAGCAATAGATCTGCATTTCCTTTTTGAATTTTGAAATAGGTGGCCGTTGGAACAACTTTGTTATGCTTCTTGGTTGATCAAGAAGCAAGGGAACACCTTTCTAGTAGGTGCAAACTCCAGAGAAAGAAGAAAGAAGATAAAGAGAAAAACAGTAATCTTATTACCTACCTCAAATTATTACAATTTGGGCCTATTTATAGTGTACAATAAACTGGTTTGTCTATGTTGGCTCAGGAAAAATTTCCCTTGAATAGGACTTTATTCCCCTAAAGTCAGATTGTAGTTAATCAAGTTTCCTTTGAGAGTAGTATTAGGGTTTAGTTAGATCTAGGTTCTTACTTTCCATGAGAGAACTCTTGATTAAGGATGAATAATTTTTTAGCTATTTTAGTCTCAGTTGTGAGTAAAAATGGAGGTAAACCCGATCAAGATCTCATGATTTTGTCATCCCGGGTATACCATAGGTTTTAGTCTACCAACACTAACAATCATTGACTTTAGTTTTTCAGGGAATCTGATTAGCAGCCATGAGTTATTATTTGAGGGATTGGATAATGTCAAATTTTAAAACCTAGCCTTGGAGACTAAGCTTGGCCGTTAGCCGGTCTTACAACCTAGCCCTGGAGACTAAGCTGCCCCCTGACTCATATTTAATTTGAGAGTTTAATATTTCTCTTAGGAGTTACTCTCAAATAATAGGTCTTACAACTTTTTTTAAAAGATTTCTGAAAGTGGGTCTTACAACCATTGCATTTCAAGAATAATATTAGCACCGTAAATAGATAACACAAAATGCAATTGTTACAATCATTAGGTTCCATTCTTCAAAAATTATCGAAACCTTACAATAAAATATTCAAATCAGGATCACCATATGATTCTCACAAGTGAACCTCAGCTTGATCCCATTTCTTTTAACCTATTCGGTGCTTTAATCTCTCATCCTTCCTATATTCATGTCTTCACACTCCAGACATAACCCATAGATCCTACTCCCATCGTTCCAATCTAATTCCTCGATGAAAAACTAACACTTCTCAATGCTACGCTACCCGATTCCATTTCTTACATTGGCAATTTAAACACCTTTTTGCTTTACCAAAGGGTTTACCTCCACAACAACTAATAGACTATCATATTAATCTAAACCCATAAAAATTTACCCATATTGAAACTTTCATTTTAAAAAAGATGCCTTGGAAAAATTAGATGCATAAATGTTAGAAATGAGCATAATTCGTTATAGCCGTGGTCCCTTTTCTAGTCTAGTTCTCCTCGTCAAAAAGCGTTATGATACTAAGCAATTTTATGTCGACCAACGTGCCCTAAATGTTTTAACAATTAAAGATAAATTTTCAATTCCAACTATTAATAAACTTCTAGATGAATTACAAGATGTCTCTTTTTTTTTTTCTTCTAAACTTGATCATTATTTTGGCTATCATCAAGTTTGAATGCACCAAAAGACATTCATAAAAAAGCTTTTCATAAGCATGATGGATATTTTGAATTTTTAGTTGTCTTTTGGCTTTACTTAAAGATAGGATTGGGGCTGCAAACCTTCACCCCAGTACGAAACTCTCTGTCCGATTCCACCAAGCACGAGCTAGCCCCGTTCCACCTCTGACTCTCGATCCTACTTTTGCCAATGTTTCTAAAAGGAATTGATATACTTGCTTGCTGACCGTGACTTGCGAGCATTTTGAGTTACACTTTAAGAGATTGTCACTATCAATAGAAACATTTAATTGTTTAGTAGGTTAAGGTTCTATACCGAGGAAGTAAATGAGAGTATCTTGAATGAATTTATGAGTGTTTAATATAGCTAGTTAAACGGAAAGTGCGCGGATTGAATTGGTGCCTAGAGCATTCATACTTATTTTAGACGATAAATCCATACTATCAAGGTCTATAGGGGAAGTGTTCTTTTTTAAAATTTCTGGTTCATCTGTGCCTAAGAGCATGTAAAATTTATTAGGACAGCGATGTTAAGGCCCAAATTTAGCATCACAATTAAAACCTAATCCTTTGTCCCTATAATACTAAATTTCAGCAGGAAAAAGTTTGTGGAAAGGGAGGAGGCCTTGGCGGGTGTTGACCCGTAACAAGTAAAAAAAAAATCGCAAAAAAAATCTCATACCTGTCCGATCGCACGTCGTCGCCGCTCAAATCCCGTAAATCTAGCGACCGTCATTTCACCCACGTCGTCTACACGACCCATTGGCGTCGTTAAATGGAAAACGAAAATGAGGCCGAAGGCCTCGTTCGACTCTTTCTCGACGACTCGCTCTCGCTCCCACTCTTTCCCTCTCCGGTCCTCCAGTGCTGTGCGACTTCGTTCCTTCGACGACACTCGATCGGAAGCAACAATGAGCTCGCCAGCTGTGAAGATAATTTTCTCCCTTCCACGTGGCTTCTCCGACTCCTTAGTGGCTGTTCGACGAAGCTCCTTCGACGACGTTCCCTTTAGGTCGAATCGGAAGCTACGACATTTGATCGGAGCAGCAATAGGGAGCCTGCTTGCCGTGAGGGTAACCTTCTCCCATTCGCGCCCTTCTTTGGCCCCTGGTAGCTGTCGAACTTCGCTTCTTCCACGACTTTCCCTTGCTCTTGGATCGGAAGTTACTACATTTGATCGAAAGCAAATAAAGGGAGCTCGCTGGTGGTGAAGGTAACTCCCCCTCGCGTGCTTCTCGGCCAAATCCCGTAATCCCACCGAGCCGAGGGATTAGTAATATTTTTTTTAATTAAAATTAATTAATTTTTATTAATTATAATCATTTTAATTAATTATTTATTATAATTAATTATAATTAAAATTAATGATAATTAATTGTAAGAAATTTTAAGTTTAATTGTAATTAATTATTATTAATTAGTTATAATTAATTAATTTTAATGACTATTAATTAGTTATGATTAATCAAAAATCATAATTAATTATGTTAATTAAAAATAAATAATTATAATTAATTATTCTAATTAATTTTAATTAACAATTAATAAATATAATTAATTAGAAATGATTATAATTAATTAATTAATTATAATTAATTAATTAATATTATAGCAATGTGAATCGCGAAATCCACAAATCCCAAAAGTTCAAAAATATTTAAAATTGAAATAAATCCATCAACGCAGTTAAAGCAAAATCCATCCGCCCTCCGCAACAGTTTGTCGAGGCGGATAAATTCGAATAAACTCTAGCTCACAAAGAGCCAAATGCCTAGTCGAAAATATCACTAGGATCCATTCTCAAATAATCTCTTGCCAGTAAGGACGTGGTACGTGTCCTCTAACCGGCAGTTTCGCCGCTAAATGGCACTGCAGGTAAACGGTTATGACTCGGGGCCCTCTGAACCGAGTGGTTTTGCCGCCAAATGGCACCACGAAATACCTGTTATTGCCAGACACAATACACTCCTTAATGATATCAAATTCTTGAGATATGAATCAATAGGATATGATCGATAGGGCACGAAGCCCTCTGTCAGCTAAGGTGGATTCAAATTTGTCCCCTTAGACAAACATTCAACCTAGGTCTACAAGGTTCCCTTGGACGAAGCAACCCATGGCTGCCGACAAGGATCCTTCTGTCAGGTTGGGTCGACTACCTCCTCTGACTAAGTAGACCCGGGACCACGATGGCCCGGGGCGACGGAACCATGGGATCTTGATCGGGTCCATCATCCATTCCCCCACCATCCGTTTTAAGTGCAAGATGGTTAAATTTCTAATTTTAAATATTAAATTTTCTAAAAATTTCAACCCCAAATTCCCAAATATCCAATCTTTCGAATCCAAACCCATTGCTGCTACTATATGCCAGATGTACGTATCTCTATACGAATCTGATTGATGACTAGCCTTAATTGAAAGTTCTCTCTCGTGGTCGGGAGGGGTAATTAACTATAGGGGCTTGCGCCTATAGGAAACCAGAACTCAGATCATAAAGTCCTCACAAAATGAGGGCGAAATCTCTGGGTAGTGTCTTATCTACAAACCCATCTGCCTTCCAAAATTTACCTCGGAACTTATCAGTTAAAATTCCCCTCGCCGAATAATGAATGATAAAAAAGAAATCGCGCGGCGGGGAGGCCGGGGCCGAATTTTCGGAGCCCACAGCGGGTGGGGTGAACAATGGTAGAGTTGTAGCCAAGTTACTGGAGGCTATTTGCGTGGTCGATGGGTTAGTCTTGAAGTTTTTGATAGGTGGTTGTGGATTTCTCTAAGGAGATGAGGTTATGGGAAGCAATTCTTGAAATTTAGATTCATATTGATGAGTCAATTCTATTGCATCCAAGAGGGTTAAAGGTTTTGCCAACAAAAGTTCTCAGGGCAATTTTTGCTGAAGGCCACAACTTACTAGGAATTTTAATGATAAGATTTTTGAAAGCCATTTGATATTCAAGAACGGTAGTTTGTTGTGCCAATTTTGAAAGATTGCCATGTCAATCATCTTAAGGGGAGATTCCAATACGTTTTTGAAAGATAGCATAAATTCATTCCAAAAAGGGTCTTAACCCTTCATATGTAGCCATTGATACCATATTACTACGAGGCCTTCCAAATGAAAACATGCAATACAAATACAATGACAATCCGAGATATTATGAAAATTGAAATGCTCATATGCTTTAAAGATGCATGCTTCTGTGCAAAGGGACTCAAGGGGTTTATCTACAAAATCGATGAATAATTGGAATTGTTGTAGGGCAGTTCCGATTGCTCAAACAATTTCTAGATTTCTGAAAATTGAAGCTTTTGATTGGCTTGCATGGAGCAAAGGGTGTCGGCCAAGTCAAAATTCTTAATTGTGGAAGAATAAGATCGCCAATTGTTATGCTTCTTTGTGGATGAAAAAGTAACGAAATATTTTTTGAGTAGGTGCAAACTCTAGAGAAGAAACGAGATAAGGAGAAAACAAAAATCTTATTACCTACCTCAAATAAGTACAATATGGGCCTATTTATAGCTTACAATGAACCGGTTTATGTCTACTAGGTAAGAACTGAAATAAAACTAAACTATTTATATACTAAAGCTATTACTGGTGGCGGATTTTTTTATTAATTCCTGTTGCTGGGAAGCTTTGGCTGGGCCATTTTAGTTGAGGACCTTGCTTGTGCCGATTGCAATTGGACTGTTCTTCGATTGCTTTATATGTGCTTTAGCTTGTATTACAGTCTTTCTTTCTTTAACCATATACCTTGTTTACATGTTGCCATCTTTGGAAGGTTCTTCTTTGGTCTTTACCCAATCGTCACATTTATTTTGTATAATTGTGGGTTTAATTTTGTAAACTGCTGCATAACAAGCTTCTTGTTCTTTTCATATTCAATCTTCAGGACACTAATCTGTATTTTACATTGGAAGGCTTTGCGGGCAATTATATCAGCTTTGAGTGGGTGACTTCGGTTGAGGGCGCTACTAGTTTAGTTGCTAAATTTTTTCTCAATTATACTAAACCAAAAGTTTTGGTGAATTTGGTTATGAGTGGGTGACTTGGCTACATGCTTCGAAATGGGAAGTAAGTTGTTTTAAGGGATGGTATTTTGCTACTTTTTGAAAGAGTAATAATTATACTTTCCCTCCCATACTGGGAGAAACTCTATTGTGGACTATCTAGGGTTAATGCCAATCCAGCAATTAAACTCTTCTGCATGTGAATTCTTTTTAATATTTATTATTGGCTAGTTTGCGATAGTTTGGAATGCCTCCGTTGTAATCAATTCATTGCAATGGAAAATTAGAAAGAATATATATATATATATATACAAACCAATAGCTATCACTGTATTGTAGTGATGACATTGGCCAGAGGATAGTGACCTGCGAAGAGATGCACCTGTTCAAGGTGGTAGGAAAACCTAACCTGGCGCAGCTCAAGTGCACACTTTTTCTTTCTTCAGTGCAGGAACAAGTATGACAATATAATATAGATTACTATTGAAAAAAATTTCATGAACCACTTATAAAACTACCTATTTCATGTTGGATCTTTAATCATTAGCAAGCTTTGAGGTAATGAGCTTTCATAGAACATGCGCTGAATTTTTTCTATCTTTCAAACTTTATTCGAGCTATGACTACATGATTGTTAGAGTTTATAATAGAAGTAACTTTCATTTCCTGATTTGGTATACCGTTCAATTTCAAGGTCTCGCAATTGCTACTATTGATTTTAATCATCCAGATCATGTTAGAAAGGCAGAGAAAGCATTGAATTCAATTGCAAGTTCATTTCAGAATATATTGGGATGTTATGTAGAGATAAGAATAAAGCTTCTCCCCACTTGCTACAAAAAGAAAAGGAAATCATTTAGTTTTTTGAGCTGTTCTGGCAGAAACCAAGAAATCTCAGAGGCAAGCATCACCGAAAAAGTTACAATTGAAACGCAGACACAAAGGGACTCAATGTATAAGAGATGTCCCTCAAATCATGATCCGAGTTTTTCACCTCAAATCAAGCAGTTGGAAGAGACTACTCAAAGCAACAGTAGTAAGATACCTAGTCTGTCTATACAAGCACCAAAAATATGCAATTCTGAATCAAACTTTTCAGAAGTTGGAGAAGAGGTACCCTATGTGGGCATTGAGGAAGCTGAAATTCCACCCACATGTTTTTCCGGGATCCTTGAGCGTCAAAAAAGATTTCTTTCATCTGGTGCTTCTCACATTATCTGTTTAAAGATCTGTTCAGGTAGCAAATCAGAATTCTCTAGGACTAAGAAAGGAGTGGACAAAGCATGCTTTTTAGCATATGATCGTTGCAACTTAACGCCTGCATCAAGTGCATTAATTGCTTACAAATCTGGAGACAGAATGTAAGTTGCGTGTTTTTTTTTAACTTTTACACATTGCATCTTTAGCATTTTTTGGATCATATGATTTGACCGTTATAAACTGAAAAATATTTGTTGTTAGTTCTTGTTTTAACATCATTTGTGGCATGGACAGCGACCTCAGTTTAAAAGGAGAGTAAACAACCACATATCTAAACTTTGGTGATAAAAAGGGGTAATGCATGCCCATAAATATCTGTTAATGTTAATGCAATTGAAAAGAGCCTATCTGGAACTTTTTAGGAGTTAGAGGAAAATTCAAATGTAAGGTTTTGAAACTTGATGATCCAACTTTTAAGTTCTGGCATAGGGAAACTATGCAAGTAGGCAAAATTATCTCTTTGTTTTTCTTCCAAATATTTCTCATTTTTTACTCCTGTTATCTTTTTAAATAATATCACATGTGTCTTTGCCCTATTGTGTCCATCACATTCTCACATTAATCTTCCGTTGGGAAGAATTGTTTTAACTTAACTTTTAAGGGAAAAGGTAACATGTACTAAATGATTAAAATGTCCCAAGATTCTTTTGGTGCGACCAACCCCAAACATTTAAGTGCTCAATTTATACCCCAACTCTCCAATTCTAAATCAATTTTGTCCTGCTATCAACTTTGCCATTTTTTGAACAAAAATTTGAGGGAAGCTTTCCATTGGGGTGTTTTCAATGTCCAATAATGAGCTAGGCCGTATGGTTGATACCTTAGTGTCTAATAATTGATCCCCAACCCTAAGGAATAATTCAATAGGGTTATGGGAAAATGACATGAGTTAATCTCAATCATAAAGAATGTAAATGAAACAATGATGGCTCATTTTTTACATCATTCAAGGAGCTAGCATACTCATACATGCCTATGTAAATAAATTGTTGGTATCGAAATAGGTTATTATCAAGGAGCGTGTCTAGAGGGACACAGTAACTGCAATGCTCGCCTGAAGATAACCTTGCTTTAGGGGTCACTGGGTCAGTTGTCAGCCCCAGTCCATTAGAAAACAAGAATTCATCCCAGTAGAGCTCGCGACATAGGAGCTCACCCCGGGAGGATTGGATCGAATATACGCTCATTCTCAGTAGGCTCTTGCAAAGGACTCACCCAAGCAAGCCTTCACCCTCAGTGGGACTAGCTACAAGAGAACTCATTTGTCCCATAGTCGTTGTCCTTAATCAAGGACTTATATCTATCATAGATATCCTCACTCAAGTTATAGGAAGTACATACCTATAAACCACATAGCCATGACTTCACTATTTTAACTCGTCCCTAGTCCATAGCTACTTGCACGGGGACTCACCTCCTGCACCTAAGGACATCTTCACAGACTCACCCTAGGTTCCGTAGACTTGCCCAAGGTACTTACCTTAGATGAGGGGCCAACCCAAGCCCACGAGTACATCATCCAACTAGTATATGTGTCCATGTCAGGCTATATTAATCACAACATGTTCTATTTTTTCGATCTATGCTAGTTGTAATATTTCATATAGCTCTCTTAACTCTATAAATGAGGGGGTGAAAATGCATATTTTGGACTTCATCCTATGGATATTATTTGCAAAGATTTTAGAGCTTTTTACTTGTTCGTTATCTCTAACCCCCAAGGACCTGGTGTTAAGGTTGAGTATCATCCATAAAAGAAAATTTTGAATCCAATATTCTTTATGTGATTTATCTTCATAATAACATTATTGTATAAGTTGACTCTTAGCCACCTCAAATAGTTGAGATAAGGATAAAGATGATAATTGCATAGTAAATGAAAGTACATGCTAATATACAAATTAAACTATCATATGTTGAATTTTGGTGTACAAGTGTAAATCATAATAGAAATTTCATCTACCTACCATGATAGTATTTTATGTACTGCCTCTTTTCTCTTGCTCAAAGTCCCAAAAATCACTGAACTGGCATGGTATTTGATGAGTTGAATTGTTAACTGATGCTGAGTACGTGATGTTGTTGGAGATCCTACTTTTTATGTGTTCAGATTTTTTTTTTATCACCTTATGAAGAATCCTAGTCTGTCTTGATCAAAGCTGCGTGATGTCCTACGGAGTCTGTTGTGCATCTGCCACTTATTTTTCTTACAATAAATATTTTACATAAGTTGCATCTGTTAAGACCCCTTTATCATGCTTCGTTTTGGTCCATGTGCTATTAAAAATCTCTAACTCTTTTTTAACCTTATTATCAGGATAATAAATTGTTAAATCCAACACTATATGTTACTATTTGTTTAAATCTTCTTTCCAGATTTAAACTTGTGGTATGTCATCTATTCTTCTTGATTTTTAGCTACCACAAGTTCTTACTTCTCGTGTTAATACAGATTGTGTATTGGTCGTTTTTCTTCCATCTATTTCAATCTTTGTTGGTTTTTGTCTACTTTTACACAATCGGTGTTCAACATTTAATTCTTACAACCTGTAAAACAACTTCAACAAATTGCTAATCTGATCAAACATATTACTGAGTTTTATTTCCCCATGATTTTTCACTGTAGGACGAGAAAATATTCAAGGTTTAGTTCAAGATTGCTTTGTTGGAAGGCTCCAATTTTATCCTCGAGGTATTTACTTTTATTCATATATTCATTATCATTTTTGTGGTTTTTATTCATATTACGTGGAACCCATAAAGAAATGCGAGTACTGCAATTCAAATGATGGATGGTTCAAATGAAACTTTTTAGCTTGGGGTTGATGAGGACATCGTCAGCATTTTCGACGCCGGAGATTGACGGCCACGAGCATGACTTGTATTTTGTCATTTTATGTAGTAGCGTATTTTATTTTGATGTTTTTCCGTTTTTTGGCCCTCGATCCAGACAACTCCGTGCAAGCCATTCCCCCTCCTCCTTACCGATTCCCAACTCCACAAGCCAGCAGTCCAAGCCGTGAGCTTTTCTTCCCCAGATCCCCGAAATCTCACCTGCAGCCTTCACCACCGTTTCCCTCTGATTTTCCCAATCCGTGGAATGTCAACAATTAATGCTAGATTAATTGCTTAATCCATCAGCCTTTTTTTCAGCCAACAGTTACTAGCAATTAATTCCATTTGAAATTCAAACTCCAATTTTCCCTCTCATGTCAATTTCAATTTGGGAAGTTACTTAAGGCCCAATTAAATCTGAAAATAAAATTCAGATTTAATTGAATTTCGTACTTAAACTTGGGCCCCACTCTCATAACTCCTAAATCTTTCTCTCCCATATGGCCGGCCACCTCATCCCTTTGCTCCTCTATGGAATTGCCACATCACCACCTCTTAAATGCCCCCTCACATAATTAATTCCAGATTTCTTCAGTTTTAATTTCAGATTTTCAAAAAAATCTGAAACTGAAACAGCTTCCCTCTATTCCGTTGTTATTGAGTTTTCACTTCCAAGAGATGCAAACGTGAGTTCCCTAAACTCTTTGCACGTGGCCCTCAACCTTCCCCTCATCTTCTACCGGCTGCCCACTCCTCTTTCCAGCATGGGAACTTGCTAGCCGGCATCCAGGAAAGCTGCAGGCTACGGTCCAAAGTGTCCAGCAGCTCCAAGAGTGGACCGAATCCTGGCATACCCATAGTGGGTGCTGCCCAGGAAGCTACCTATCCACGAGCGACGATCTAAAGGTCTTTCTTCCTCGGAGTGGCCTCGGTTCTAATGTGGAGACGCTTCTTCCGCTAAAGCCTAGATTAGTGAGCGTATGGGCTCTAAAGGTGAAAGTTCTCTTTATTAATTCGTGGATTTTTGTTTATTGTCGTAGCATACAATTATTCCTTGCATTTTCTTGATTTGATTGGTTAATCGAATGTCGCTCTTCGTTGCCTAAGCTAGTTAAGACTAAGAATTCTTAGGTTCACTCTTTTGTTACAAATGATAATTTTAATTTGGCCTACTTTGTTCAAATTGCTCTCTATAATTTCCTAAAGTAACTCCCTCGCATGTACGTTTTACATCAGGGGTTCTTTACTTTTTCACTATAAAAGCTTCTCCAGATTTAAAACCATAGTTAGGGTTATAAAAAATAAGCTATATTCATAGTACCTTACTCAAATGTAGTTTGATTTACATATATTGATTTTTAAATTGTTTGGAGTTTCAAATTAATTTCATTTCTTCATCTAAATTCGAGTCAGGTGAAATTTTGTTTTTATTCTGAATTGAGTTGAACTTGCTCAAAATGTGATTTGATTTCAACCTATCAATGCTTATTCAATTGTTTCATTCGTCAGTAGACGCTTTACCCATGAATGTTGATGTTCTGAATTTTTGCTGCAGGTTTTATGGTTGCAAGTAAAAAAATATTTATATTTTCCTTCCAAATGTAAAACCACCTTTTCAGCAAGATTTGTAAAGCAAATATGCGCATAGCTTTGCTTTATCATCTGGTGGAGAATTACAGGTTACCCTTCATTTGTAGTACGTTTTATGAATTGATCAATTATATGGGTAGAATTCTATTATGACTTATATATGATATTAGTGATAGATCGTTCTGGCTTGAAATCGGATATGTTTTATGGCCATAGGGTGTTCAGCTATAGAACATAATGTTACTGAAATATTTGTATAATGCACCAGACAATGATGATTTGATGACATTGAGTAGCAAAGAGCTATCATGTATTGTGTAGTAATGAGACATTTATCTTTGACAATATTTTTTATTTGACTGTTTTATTACAGTGATTATAGCTTTTCCATTATTGTTAGATTTTATTGTAATGATGAGAAAAATTTATCTTTGACAATACTTTGGATTTTGATTTTTTGTAGTAGTGATTATAAATTTTTATGATTGTTTGCACTCATCTCATGTATCCTATATATGTTGATACCATGTTTATTGCATTTGTTATTTCTCCCCAATATGCGGTTTTCTACCATTACATCAGTAACCTGTGCTTTGCAAAAAACTATTAGTTGCTAGATTGGACTTAAGCCAAAATAAGTGAGAGAATTTTTTTAATTTGCTCAGTCTGATAGTTTTCACTATGATAAAATGAAACATAAGAAATTGCCTTCCCTCTTATAAGTGGAGTCATTGGTATTATTTTGTTAAGTGCATTGTCGAAGGAATTATGGTGATATCGATCATTGTAGCATCAAGTTGTCATGGGTGTTGTAGATAGTTTTAGTGTCAGCTAGATCAAGAGTGCAATCGGGATAGATTAAAAAAAAAGGCAAATGTTGGATATGTAAGCTACTATAGGTTATGATCAAACAAGTATGAGAAGCGTTCTCAACATTTGGGTGTTAGTGATACATATGGTTATGTTATATAGTTAAATCATTGAAGAAAAGTTTGCTAAAGAAATGATGCTTGTTGACATGGATGGTATATATAGATTTGGAAGGATATAAATTGTTCAAATGTCAACCTCCTTTGAAATAATCTTAATTGTGTGAGACTTGTAGGAACTTTTCATTTCTAAAATGGCATTGATCTTCGAGTGACGTATGTCAATCCCACGATGCTATATTATGAATCAAAGGACTTTCCCCAACATGAGGCTAAAGACAAATTTTAAAGAATTCATCATGATGCTATTATAGCAAAGTCATTTAAAAGCATGCCTCAAATGATGAATAAGATCTCCTTGGCTATTGTTTGGTGATGGTTGGTGATGGTGGGTGTGGGCTACATAATCACTAACATGATCAAATCGGTGAATGGAGGGCTCTCTAGAGATGACTAGGAGAGTGATGATATATTTGGCCGAGTTTTATTTTTAGTAGAATTAGGTTTGGGAAGATGTTCGTGGTCGGCCAACTTAATTCCAATAACTAGCCAGAATTTGAAGTCTTAGATTCTACCCGCTATAACTTCCTCTCTAGAAGTCCAATAACATGAAATAAAAACCAATTGATGTGGAAGATGTCTAGTTATGATCTAGAGAATTTGATGACTTTTGGGATGTCTAGTTATGATCTAGAGAATTTGATGACTTTTGATGGAGTTTTGATTTTTTTTTTTTCTAAGGTTGGTCTGAGCTTTGGCTATAGGTTGAATTGGACTTAAGACTTCTAGAACTTTGGATATTTATGAACAAGAGCCTAACAAGTATATGAAAATCAAAATTTGAGACGCATATTATGGTATTATGGATCAGGAGTTTTTAGTGTTTTTTTAGAGGAATATAGGTCATTTAGTCAGCAGCAAACTTATAATTAGGTTTGTTCTAATCTATTTTGGTGGCTTCTCACAAAAGCCTTAAAAGTATGTGTTAGATTGCTAGGATCAAGGTTTGATTTTTCTTGGAGTGGGGGATGACGGATAAAACACAAAATAAAAGAAGATTGTTAAAATTAAAACATAGATAAAACTCTACTAGGTAAATTAGTAATCTTAGAGAGGATCACCAAACTCTTTCTAGTTTGGCAAGCCATCAAACTCCAACCAAAGGATTTTTCCTTTAGTTTTAGTTATAAAACATCATTAGATTATTCATTCCTCTAACTAGAATTATTTAATAGATATTAGATGAGGTTAAATCTTTAAAATTTAAAAGGATAGGGAAGGGAAAGGTAACCACTAGTTTAACCACCACAATTCCTCCCTCCTTTGCACACTTTGCCAGACATAACTCATGCAAAGACTGGCCACTCTACTCTAAATTATCAATTTAATTAGGTGAATTAAAATGGCTAACTCAACACAGTTTGAAACACACTAACGAAGACACTTTTACATATGAGACAATACATTCACAAAAAAGATAATAATATAAATAATCCTTTGATTCCTTTCTTTAGTGAAGCCCTCCTCGCCTTGGATTTTGTAATTGAGCCTCCTTTCTCTTAATTTGCTCCATATTCTTCATCAATTTCCTTGGACCCCAAAGAACTCTTCATTAAAGGTTGAAGTTCAAATAGTCAACTACAAGCTCTAGCGCTAGCTTCTCTAAATTTTCTCTGATAAGCCAGTTGTGTTCATTGGGTGTCTTGCTCTCCATCTCAATTTGGTTTTCTTCAGAATTCAAAAAATTTGTCAAAGGTTGGAAAACCTTTAATTATTAATGAAGGAGGATTGTTGCTGGCTAAGAAGAATGAAGTTGAAGTTATTGGGAAAGGGAAGGAAGTGGTAATGGAAAATAACTCAAAAATTCATTTCAATTTTGGTAAAATTTCTGAATTTGGAGTTGTGGAAGCCTCACCTTCTTCAAAGATTCATCATGTGATCTCAGAGGAATGTGCTTTGTGAATCGCCTGGAAGTGAAGTCAAGGAGGGATTCAAAACTGTAGTTGCTAAGCCTGGAGGTGCACAGGTAGCATTCAAAAGGAGAAGTTTAATGGGATTTACCTATGGTAATAGGAGGATATTTTAATTGTATTCTTTCCAAGGAAGACAAAAGGGGAGGGAAAATATTCACTTTTTTCCTAGGACCCAAGGAAATGAAGAATGTTTTGTCTTGCAATGATTTGGACGATGTTGGGTTTGTTGGTCCAAGATTTACTTGGTGTAACAACAAATCAGTGGCTAATTAGATTCTTGAAAGATTGGATAGATGTTTTATGAACTCATCCGCTCTTAATTCTTCACATAGATTGATGGTTAAGCATTTTCCTCGTGTATCTTCTGACCATTGTCCGATTCTCTTAAATCTCTTGGAATTTCAGCCTTCGATCAAAAAAGTGGTACGATTTGAAGATAGCTGGGCTGCCAACAAAGCTTTAGCTGCTGTTGTAAGGGGAATTTGGGTGAACAAAATTGTGGGCAGCATGTTTAATATTTTGAACTCCAAATTGGAAAAATCCTTGAAGGCCTTATTTTATTGGAGCAAAGCTAAACAAAGAAGCCTATTTCTTTTAAAGGAGTCCTTGTTGAAGGAAATTGAGGAGATACAAACTAAAGAAGCTAGTGAGTGTGGGCTCTCAGAGGAGGAATACTGGTTTCTTAAGGTAAAGTTGGGTGAATTCAATCCAACTCTAGCTCGGCTGGATACATGGTGGAGACAAAGGTCTAAGGTCAAGTGAATTTTGAAGGGTGATTACAATACAATTTTTTTTCAGTCTTATGCTTCAACTAGACAGAATTCAAATTTCATTGTTAAAATCAAGGATGAAAATGGAGTTATGGTGGAAGATCAACATAAAATTGAGGAAGTAATGGTTCGGTTTTTTCAAGACAAATGGAAAAACAGAAATTGCAACCTTGAAGTCTATCCAAAATCGTTGATTTGTTTAAATGATGTGATGCAAATTTTTTAAACAAAGCATTCTCCATTGAAGAAGTTGAAGAAGTAATCAAGCAAAGTGGTAATTACATTGCTCCCATTAACAATGGTATCACTTATTCTTTTATTAAAGCATATTGGGAGATCATTAGAAAAGATTTCTTGAATGCTGTTAATTATTTCTTTGAGACATCAGAGATAGGTCCAAGATGGAAAGAGAAACTTATTGTTCTTATCCCCAAGGTTAGCAACCCGTTGGTTCCCAACAATTTTAGGCCAATCATTTTGTGTAATATTGTTTATAAGGTGGTGGCTAAGGTGCTAATGAACATGATGTCATCTATTATTACTAAATTAATTTCTAAAGAGAAGGTAACTTTTTTGAAAGCGAGATCATTGACGGATCATGTTCTGGTAGCTCAAGAGATTATACACAAATTCAGGTACTCTAAATCCTCAAAAGGTCTTGTTTCTCTTAAAATTGACATGGAACAGACATATGATTCTATGAGATGGCCGGCTCTTAAAAAAGCATTGGATTATTTTGGATTTCCATCTAAATTTTCAAGCCTTATTTTGGAGTGTGTTCAAGATCCAAAATTTTCTATTTTGATTAATGGAAATTCTTCATGTTGGATTAAAGCTAGAAGTGGATTCCGACAAGGTTGTCCCTTGTCACCTTATTTAGTCATTCTTTACTCTCAGTTATTAACTAATGCTTTTATGGAAAAAGAGGATTCTACTGGAATTCGGGTGAGTTCAACAAGGCCAAGGATTTCTCACATGTTGTATGCAGATGATGTAATTATTTTTTCTGACGCAAAGTTGCGAAGTATTAAGGAGATAAAGGTAATTTTGGGAAATTTTGTAAGTGGACTGGTCAAAAAATAAATGCTAACAAATCTTGTCAACTCTTTAGCAAAGTTGTAAACATAAGGAATAAAAAAGCCGTCTCCCGGATTTTGAAGTTCAAAAATGTTAAAGAGCTGAATTATCTTGGAGTGAAATTAGCTCTTAAAAGATTGGTTGGAAATGATTTCTACTTTATTATTGAAAAAGCATTGAAGATGATTAATATTTGGGGAGAAAAGATGATTTCTTTGGCCTGAAAAATTATGCTTGTAAAATCTATTTTTTCTTTATTATACTATTTTTCAATGCACCAATTCATTGATTCCAAAGAGCATTCTTCATGAAGTGGATAAAATTTGTAAAAGTTTTATTTGGAATAAAGCAAATGGAAGTCATGGAATTCATTATGTGAATTGGGATGTAATGTGCTTACCTTTAAAATGGGGAGGTAGAGCTCGTCACTCTTGCTCTAACAAGGTTGACCCTTTAAGAGCTAAGATTGCTTGGAAGTATGCTAAAGAAGAAGATTCATTGCTACACAAGGTATTCTATCCAAAGTATGGTGAGCTGTTTGGAGAGGGTGCAGGGAAGAAAATTAGTTCGAATGCTTGGAAAATTATCTCGGAAGGAGGTAATTCCTTAAAGACAATCTTGAGGTGGACAATTGCAAATGGGAA